CGAGGCGGGGGGCGCGCCGTCGGCCGGCTGGGTGTCCGCCCCATCCTCCTCGTCCTGCTGCGCCAGCTCTGGGTGGTCCTCCGCCTTTTCCAGCTTGGGCTCCTGTGGTGCATGGCGTGTGGGCGGCGCCATTGCGGCGTTGAGGGCGCGGGCAGGCGCGGTTCGGGCCGGGCCGGGGCTGGGCGGCGGCTTGGCGGCGACAGGTGCGCGGCGCAGGCAGCGACGCGGGCGCGCGCCGAGGCGGGCGGGGGCGAACGGCATGGCCGGGCCCGGCGCGCGCGGCGCGAAGGGTGCCGAGGGGGCATGCGGCGCGTGCCTTGATTTCTGTACCCTCTCTTGCCCTCGGTCCAGCAGCTTTCTTCAACAATCTTGAGTTCAACAAACAACTCCCACACCCATGAACCCCACCCACCCATAATCACAAACGGCCCCCCACCCCCCGAAAAACCAACCCCCTCTACACACCTGGAAGAGCAGGTCCAGCTCAGCCACCCTGAGCACCTGCCTGTCCGCGCGCAGGTTGCCCGCCATCACGCCAGCAGTCACCTTGGGCTGCACGCTGCGGCGCCCGCCCAGCTGCCGGGGTGGAGGCGGCGGGGGTGGTGTGTGTGTGTGTGTGTGTGTGTGCGCGCGCGTGTGTGTGTGTGTGTGAGAGAGGGGAGCGGGAGAGGAGGAGTGTGTGTGCAATTGGGGCAAATGGGGGAGGGGGCCGGGTCCATGAGGGGCGCACACTCCGCACGAGTGGGGGGTGCGGCGACCGCCTGTTTCGCAGCAGCGGCTGTGCCGGCCAATGCCATGCGCCGGGCGCCGAGCATATTAAGAAAGAGGAGGGCCAGGCCCCGGCAAGGCGCCAAGAGCACGGCGGTGCCACCCCTTTGGGGCGCCCCTGCCCCAACCGCGTGCGCCATGCGGCCTGCTTTTTGCGGTCTCACCTCCGCCCCTGTCAAGACCTCCTCATCCGGAAGATCCTCGCCGGCAGGGGCGCCGTGTTGTTGCCCCTGCCCCTGCTGCTGCTGCTGCTGCTGCTGCTGCTGCTGCTGCTGCCCCTGCTGCTGGGGCTGCTGCTGCTGCTGGCCGGGGGCCGGCGCCGGCGGTGCGCTCCCCCCCGCCTGCCCGGAGGCGCCCGCCGCGGCACCCGCGCCCGTGGCCGCCGCAGCGCTGCCCTGCCCCACGGCTGTCGCCGCCTGCGCCGGCGCCGCCGTCCCTGCCGCGGCGGCGGCGGCGCCGCCTGGCGCGGGGGCGGGGTGGGTGGCAGCGCGCGCCTCCTGCCTGTGCTTGCGCACCTCCATGATCCGCTCCTCTATAGACCCTGTTTTGAGGGGGGCGGGCAGGTCAGGGCAGAGGGCGAAAGGGTTGTGAGCCGCAATTAACTCGGACCCTCAACCGCACACCCCAGACCCTAAATCCCAGAACCTGAACCCCAGACCCCCAATGCCGCACCCTGTACCCTAAACCCGGAGCCCTGGCCCCCCCCTTCACCCTTGACGTAGAACTTCTTCACCACGACCGGCCGCTGCTGCCCCATGCGCCACGCGCGCCCTATGGCCTGCTCCTCCAGGGCCGGGTTGATGCAGGGCTCCAGCAGGAACACGTGGTTGGCCGCGGTCAGGTTGATGCCCACGGCGCCGCTGGGTATGTGTGGGTGCGCGTGCATGTGTGTGTGTATGTAAGTGTGTGTGTGTGTGTGTGTGTGTGTGTGTGTGTGTGTGTGTGTGTGTGTGGTGAGTCGTGCCTGCGCAATATGTGTGGGTGGGGAAGTATTTCGGAGAACAAGGGAGCGTGCGCTCAGCGGCGTTCGAGGGTTGCAGCGAGGTCGGGCTTGCGAGAACAGGTGCGGGCGCGGTGAGGGGTGGTATGGCTGGAGCGGCACGGCAGCGCGCGATGCCGCGCGCCTCACACCCTCCTAGCCTCAGCGACAGGGGCCGCAGCGCAGGTGGGGCGCAACGCCAGGCCCGTCCCAGCAGGCGGCCGTGCCGCGGGCCACGCGGTGACGGGGCACGCCTGCGGGGTGGCATATGTGTGTGCAGGCGCACCTGCGCATGCTGAGCAGGAATACCGTCGTTGGGGGGTCCTGCTGGAAGGCCTGCGGGCGGGGAG